ATTAAATGTTTGTTTGTCTAAAAATAAAAAAAACTTTTTTAAAAAAAATTATCTTTGATGACAGGCAATAGAAATTTATTTGAGATGTGACTGATATTTGTACTAGCAATCTTTTCCCATTAAATTAATAATCTTGTAATAAATTCTGGTTCTACATGTATCTAGCCACTGATACATTAGCTATGCTTAATTTTTTCATGCTTCATCTTTAACTTTCAAGTTAGAAATGTTAGTAGCTTATATATGTTTTGAGTTCACGGTAGCATTTCTGCAGTCTGTTCAGTGTGTTTGCTCTTTTGATTAACCAAAAAAGCTAGCTTATTACTTGTCCCAAGCAACATAGCTACTGAGAATCATTTAGTAAGAATTATTAAGCAATACAATTGTACTCTAGGAATATTCTACTAACAACACATTGTTGTAGAAATCACAGTAAAGGTATGTTTATGTTTTTCTTACAACTTGCATTTTTTTCTATGTGCAAAGCAATGGGTGGAGGGGGGGATTGCCCTTTAGAGTACTTCAAAAAGCAAGATTTCATGAGAATGAACTTTCATGTACAATACACAGAAATAAATATATTTGCAAAAACTACAGTGAACAAAAGAAAAAGAATAATGAATTTTACTTATTGGACTTGCTGCATGAATTGCAATAGGTTAATCCATGGCTAGCTGAACCATGGTTTACTGAGTTCTTTCCGTTGCTTTAATTCACACAGCACATTGCACTGTAAAGTACCCAACTGTACTAAAGTATTGTAACCATTATAAGCTAAATGTATTCAACATATTGAGCCACAAAGTAGTCAAACACATTTTAGAAACTATTTTAACTCCCTACCTCAATTAAAAGCAGCATTACATTTGCACATCCTGAATTCATCTTATTCCTAAAGTAATTTTGTTCTCTAAACTTGGCTACAGGCTATTTTTTTATTTTTATTTTTATTTTTATTTGAGGTTAATAAACCTTGCTAAGTCACACAAGAGAAACAAGAAACGTCTATCTTAAGGTATATATATCCAAGGATACATTTCCCATTCTTGCCCAAGGCTTCTTCAGTTTGATGGGAAGAACAGTACTGCAGATAGATGAAGGAGACAGCACGACAACCATATGCAACACAAAAATCCACAAACAGGTTTGAAACAGAAAATCCTGGACTCTTTTCACAAATTATTCTGCTTTTTTCCCTGTTCCCATATTAACCATTCATTTTTTTTTTCCAGAGGGGAGGGAGCAGTGTTATTCTGTCACAAAAATAAAAAAAAGAGATGTTGATGGAGTGGTATAAACCAGTGTTTCCCAACCTTGGGAACTTTAAAGCATGTGGACTTCAACTCCCAGAATTCCCCAGCTAGCTATGCTGGAGAAACACTGGTATAAACTGTATTTGGGTCTGTTGTATTAGACGTAGAAAGTGCTACTCAGATTTTCAGGTTCATGCACCACTATCGGAGAGGAATGCAGTAAATGTAAGTACAGGTAGTCTTCAACATATGACCACAATTGGGACCGAAATATCAGTTGCTAAGTGATGCAGTCATTAAGTGAGTCATCATGTGACGACCCAATTTTACAACCATTATATTTCAGTTGTTAACCAAATCATGTGATTGTTACGTGAATCATGTGGTCGTTAAGTGAATCTGGCTTCCCCACATTCACTTAATGACCACATTATATTTTGACTTTGCTTGTTGGAAGAAGGCTGGGAAGATTGCAGATTATATTAATGTGACTGCAAGATGCTGCAAATGTAGTAATTGTGAGCTGTGGCTAAGGGCCCAAATTATGATCACTTGATTATGGGGACAATTAAATGGTTGTAACTTCAAGGATGGGCCATAAAGGAGCTGTGGTGGCACGGTGATTAGAATGCAATACTGCAGGCTGCTTCTGCTGATTGTTGGCAGCCAGCAGTTCAATTCTCACTAGGCTCAAGATTGACTCAGCCTTCCATCCTTCAGAGGTCAGTAAAATGAGGACCCAGATTGTTGGGGGCAATATGCTGATTCTATAAATTGCTTAGAGAGCGCTATAAAGCACTGTGAAGCGGTATGCAAGTCTAATTGCTATTGCTAAATCACTTTTTCTGAGGCTGTAATAACTTTGAACAATCTTTAAATGAATAGTTATATTCTATCCTAGTGTTTCTTAATGTTTGAAGAAGACTGTGGAGTAATTGAATTATTGACGTGGTTCAGATGGAAAGTACTTGTGTGGTTACAGTTTGTGGTTCTTTGTTTGTTAAGCAACTACCAGTAAGTGTAGCTTCAGTTAGTAACTGTGGCAAGTAACTATGCCATTTCCATTTAGAAGTCAAAAACATGAACAGGAAAAAAAAATTGAAATCCATCACATATTGAGCTCATTCATAATATGATGTTGGTGAGCAAATAGAACTAACCGAAACTTATTGTAGAAAGCAAAGAAGGTGACTGCTAGTAGAGATAAGCAGGAACTGTTACGTAAGCAAAAACGGGTGGAAGCGTTTTTAAGGCCAGAACAGTCATGACATTCAGAAATGACTCAGGCAGATGCCTCTCTAATTTGCTGAACTATAAGGAGGTGTGGGGGGGTGTCACAGCACCACCAAACTTTCTGTTATTGTAATGTAACCAATCTCAATAAAAATAGTTTTAATCTTCCTGTGGAATTGATTTGCTGGTCTGGTCCATTTGGGCTGACACTTATTAAATGAACTATGATTAAAACTAACTTTAGAACAATGCTGGGGTTGAGCCCGAATTTGAGATATGTGTAGCTATTTTATTTAGTTCTCTTTTATATTGATTTATTCCTTTTTTTCCTCTTTACTTGGTAAGGGGTTTTTTCGGGCTCGCCACATTCTTAAAGTGGGGGGAAGAGTGAATAGATAGTGAGGATTGTTTTGCCTAGGTGACTTTCTTTCCCGTGGGAACAGAGGCTGCTCCTGGTGAGAATGGAAGGTGGAGTTTAAAGACACAGGGAAATGTGGAATGAATGTTTTTTGGAGAATGTGTCTTTTGAGGGATGTTTCTAACTTATAATATTATGTGGTGTAATTCCAGTTTGTGTCAGATCCAGAATTACAACAGACTTTGCCAATTTGATGCCTACCTAAATAAAAGAAATTTATTTTGGAAGATGGATTTTGCACATTTCTTTTTTGAATGGGTTTCATCACTTGGAAACCTGACAACTGGGGAGTTTGCAGGGTGTGGTTAAAAAAATTCAAGATAGTAGCCATGGGGTTGCAACTGAACTTCTGTTTTTATGTATGTTGTGTAAAAATACATGTGAAGCACATTGTAACACCGATTTAAAAATGAGTGAAATTTCAATCACATCTTTGTGGCTACCATCCTGACTTTAGTATCAACCTGGTCAAATTGGCAATAAAATGATTCATTCATCTATTGTGGTATAAAAGAGATTAAAGGTGTAATTTCTAGAGAGCAGATGGTAGCACAGAAACACAAAAACTCATGGCTATTGTATTTCTCTCTACAATGATGAGAGGGGTTTGCAAGTTAGAAGCAGTATACAAACAGTGGTTTGATGTGATTACAGCTCATTTACTACATTAAAAAAAATGAAAAATCTGTGTATAAACATTGCTTTCAAAAACAACTTAAAATAATACAGATAGTCCTTGACTTACAACAATTCAGTGATGACAACACTGAAAAGAGTGACATAGAACTGGTCCTTGCACTTACAATAGTCACAGCATCTCCATGGTTACTTGATCAAAATCTGGGCACTTGGCTATCAAGATATGATGATTGCAGCATCCTGGGGGCCATACGATTATCATCTGCGACCTTCCCAGTTTGTTCCCGACAAGCAATGTCAATGGGAAAGGCCAAAGGTGTTTTTTCAAGAGGCAACTGGACTTTCTAGTTTTTTCTTTGAAGATGTTTCGTTTCTTATTCAAGAAGCTTCTTCAGCTCTGACTGAATAATTTAGCCCCACTATTCAGTCAGAGCTGAAGAAGCTTCTTGAATGAGAAACGAAACATCTTCAAAGAAAAAACAAGAAAGTCCAGTTGCCTCTTGAAAAAACACCTTTGGGACAACCATGTCTGGATGACTGACAATCTCCATAGTCAATGTGGGAAGCCAGATTTGCTTAATGATTTGCTTACATGATTTGTTCAACAGCTGCAGTGATTTGCTTAACAACCATGGCAAAATGATTGTAAAATCAGGCACAGCTCACTTAACAACTGCCTTGCTTAGCAACAAAAATTTCTGGTCCCAATTGTGGTCATAAATTGAGAGCTACCTGTAACTATATTCTGTCTTGCTCAGCCAAATTTGCTTTCCAAGCCACAGGGCTAAGAAAGACCTTTCGCACAGGATGGGAAGAAAACTTAGCTCAGTAGTGTCCGCACCTATCCCCAAATCAATTCTTTTCAAAGGCAGTGAGATGGGGAGTGGTTTTGCTTGTAAACAGACAGTACATTTACCACAGAAATGAGCTTTCATAATTCAGGCCTCAAACTGATGATTGTCATAGATGTAATCGATCTTTTTAAATATATATTGTTTATTGTAGTATTCCACACGTAGGAAGATTTTTTTAATGCATATTAAAATATTTCCAACCATGTCACTAAGCAGTGGGTGGCAGCCTTAGGATGTTAGGAACAACACAGCATTAACTTCTGCAACTGTTGCCCCCAGATTCTCCAGTTAAGCTGCATCAAAGGAGACGGAGGAGTTGAAAAATGGCAGTGCATCTTAGTGTTGCTAGAATAAGGGTTAAATATTTTTTTGTAAAAAAAGAATCAGTGGTTTTCAAAGTCCCTTGCCTGGTTGACTGTCACAGTGGGCAGAAGAATTTATAAGCATGCAGGCTGTATGCCCCTTTGGCTATCAGCAAAGGATGTGTGGATTGTATTAAGGTTTGTGGATTGCATTGCTACTGCACAAGGAAATGCAGAACGAGAGGTTGGCTACGTCAGAATTGGGAGTGAAAGCAGAAGGGGGGGGGGAAACACGAAGCGTCAGTCTTGCGTTTTCAGAGTGACAGGTTTTCCTGCCTATCTCATGCTTAATTCAGAGGCTTAAAAATAGCCTCCAGATGTTTATGATTGGACAGCTGCAGAGCAAGAGCGGCCTGTCTGAGCAAATAGGACTGTGAGAAAAGACACAGCAAGATCAAAGGAGCAGATGCCAAAAGACAGCAGCAAAAGAAACCGGACAATTGGTGGGCAAGAGGAAATCCAGAAAGATTTGTGTGGGTTGAAGAAATCGCTCGGTGGGTGACGAGAGAAATGTTGCACCGCATATAGGTGTGGCCTTAAGAGACGTGAAAATTTGCCAGGGAAAGTGAAGAGAGAATATTTGTGGATCGATGGGGTGCAGGAAGAAGATTTTATAGAAGGAGCAGGAAGAAGATTTCATAGAAGGAGCGGGAAGAGAGGCACTGGCAAAAAAAAATCTGGGTGAGTCAAGGAATTCCTTCAGTGGAGCAGGAAGTGGGAGAAGGTATGTTGCTTGATTGTGTAATAGTCGTGAATATATTATGTCATAGATTTCATTATTTGACGTGGATTCTGTGACAAAGTACATGTAGGATGTGGTATCCTGCTGACCCCAAAAATTGGGGGGGGGATGTCTGTGGGCTGAAAAAGGTGGGGAAGAGTTAAGCAGTGAATTAGACATTTGAGCTCATCTCTCCGTGAAAAGATGAACCTTGATCCAGAACACGTGTATTAAAAAAAAAAAAAAAAAGCACATGACCATAAAAAGCTAGTGGACAGGTCCCTCTAAGCTTGACTCATACTTCTACCTCTCAGAAGGGCTAAAAGTTGTTGTGAGAGATGGAACCTGAGCAGACCTTGAGTTTCTGGACTGGAGATGATGGGAAAGTCTTGGTTAGTTCTCTTAGGGAAGAAGAGGCAGGTTTGACAAGAGATAATGCATCATGATGAAACCGAAGCAGCTACTACAAAAGGAAGGAAAATGAAACAACTGTAAGATGCCTTTTTAGGCATCTTATATCCAGTATATGAATAGGAAAGCTGGTTAGATTTAGTGGTTAAAGAACCAGGCCAAAAACTGGTTGGTGAGTTGGTGAGTTCTAGTCCCACCTTAAGCATGAAAAACTGGCTGGGTGACTTTGAGCCAGTTACTCGCTCTGAGCCTACAACATTAGACTTGGATGACAAGCTGGATGGCCAATTTCTGTTGCAACCAATAGATCAACCTACTCAGTTAATACAAAAACAAAAAAGCACAACTTTTGTGGGAAGACACTAGAAGCCATGATGGTGAACCTATGGCACACATGCCACAGGTGGCACATGGAGCCATATCTGTGGGCACGTGAGCTCTGCCTTAGCTCAGCTCCAGCACGCATATGCGCACTGACCAGCTGATTTTGGGGCCTTCCTGGCCCACTGGAAGTTGGGAAACAGGCTATTTCCAGCCTCCGGGGGAGTGGGGAAGGCCGTTTTCGCCCTTCCCGGGCTCCAAGAAATCCTCCAAGAGGATTGTAACTATTGTATCTCTTCTTTTGCCTGCCTGATTGTAAGTCTGGTCATTTCCTCCCATGAATCACCATGAATATAGGCTGGAGAATCTGGATCTTGGTTCTATTGAAGACTTCAGGTTGAGGAAGGTTCCTTTAAAACAGGGACAGGAAACCTGTGACACCCCCAATATTGAGGTAGTCCTTATGGCATAATTGAGCCCCGTAATTAGTCATAAATTGTAATGGTTGTAAAGTGAGTCCCCACATGTCCGTTCCTGATTTTATGACTTTTTTGGTGACATTTGATAAGGGAACCAATTGTAAATGCTGGGTTTCTGGCAAAAATGTCATAAATCATGGTCACATGACCACAGGGTGCTGCAAATGGCCATAAATGCAGACTTTGTCCAGTGCCCAAAATGCAGTCATGTGACTGTGAAGGGGTGGGCGACATTAGAACTAGATCATAACTCACTTTTTGGAAGTCCATCGTAACTTTGAATGGTCACTAAATGACTGGTCATAAGTCGAGGACTATTTGTAAAATTCTTTTAGTATCCCTTGTCATTAGTCATACTTCCTGATGAGTCTGGGAATTGTAGAGTAGACATCACCTTCCTTTGTCCTGAAGTCAGGTGTTCTGTCCATCCGGGTAGAAGACCTGGCTTCTGAGATTGGAACAAGGCTGGCTTTATCAACCCCAAATATTCACAAAGGTTGTCAGAGTCAGGTTCTGATGCAGTAATTCATATTTCATGCTGTTAGTGAAGAGACTTTTGAAACCTTGATGAATCCATTCCAGATTGCATCAATAAAGGACATTCCATATCAGGAGACATCTAAAAGCCAATATTGAACTGAAACCGGAGTGGAACTGTTTAGTTTAGTTTACTTTATTGTCAGTGCACCTCATACAAAGAAATTAAATGCCATCTTCAGTGTACACTATAATTATAAAAATAAAACACAAACACATATCCTTCACATTCTATACAATTGAATTAAAAACCAATATTGAATTAATATTGCACTACACAGTAGAATTCAATATATTGTATTTTTCGGAGTATAAGATGCTCCAGAGTATAAGACGCACCTTAGTTTTTAGGGAGAAAAATAGGGGGGGAATTCTACCTCTGCCTACCAGGTATTCATCTGGCTAGCATCCTTAGCCTGGTCAGCTTCTGCACATTAGTTCGCTGGTTTCTAGATTTTGATTTGTTTTTGCTTCCCCCCCCCCGAACATTCTGATGCTAACCTGTTTTCTGAAATTAGGAGACATCTTAATTATATAACCATAAGCCTTTGACTTTTCCCCCCCACTCTCTGCTTAGAAGGATTCCTTAGAAGCACTGCAATTTCAGACTAGAAGGCTGCTATATCTCTTGGTCCTTCTGTTGTCACAAGTATTTCACAACCAACTTAAGTTGGTTAAATTATTTATTGGCTCTAAAAGACTGCATTGACTGTTAAGCACATCTCAACAGCTTCTTGGAAAGTTGTTTAGGCCCACATCACTGGCTTGGAAAGGCAATAGTTACTGCAATGGAGACTGGATTGACCTTTGACAGGGAGAGCCAATTGCAATCAACGTCTAAAGAGACTTATCATTCTATAAATGCAACTGAGCTACCAAGTTTAGTGCATCGTGGGAATACTGAAGAACTGCTCCCTCAGACAACATCACAGGAAGGTCCTCCCAAAACATCTCAATGCTGGAAAGATGCTGGAAATGGGTCATCACTTGTGGCCACTCAAGTATTGCAATCTATGAGCAGCCAGTCATGGCCAGATGCCATGAACCGCGAAAAGCTGCAATCTAATGAAATGGATAGTCCTTTGAAGAGCTCAGATCCAGCAAATTCATCTGAAGAGGTTGTGGCGGGTGTGGATACTGTTCCTGAGGTTGTATCACCCTTGTCCCTTCCACTGAAAAACACATGGATGCTTCAACTCCACCTAGAGGATGACATTGAGGACTACCTGGAGGGATTTGAGTCCGTGGCCTACACCAACCGCTGGCCCAGGGCAGAGTGGGTTGCTAAACTGAAGCCATATCTGAGCCGCAAAGCTCTTCTAGCCTGCAGCATCTTGGAACCCAATATTGCCAATGACTACGACATAGTCAAAGAGCGCATCCTCAATCAATATGGCATCACAACTGAAATGCAACGCCAGTGCTTCAGGCAGTTCCGTTACCAGGAAGCCATGGGCCCCCGAGAAACCTGCCAAATTCTCCAGGCCCTTGGACGGCGTTGGTTGAAGCCGGAAAGGCACACCAAAGAACAGATTTTGGAGTTACTCATACTGGAGCAGTTTCTCATCATCCTGCCCCCAGAAATGCAAGACTGGGTCCGAGGATGCTGTCCAGAGACTTGTGCTCAGGTTGTGGATCTTGTTGAAAGTTTCCAGCTGGGAAATGAGGTGAGAGTGATATAAGTGGTGGAAAAACAATTGATATAAGAAGTTGCTGAGTTTTGTTATACAGGTAGTCCTTGAGTTACAATTGTAACTGAGCCTGGGAATTACTGTCTTAAGTTGTGATGGGGCATGATCAAATTTGATTTTATAACCTTTTTCATGGTGGTTGTTAAGTGAGCCTGTTGTTCACTATAGGTAAATCTAAAATGCTGGTTTCCAGAAAAACTGTTATAAATCTTGGTGACATGTGATAGGGAGTGCTGCCAATAGCTGAAAAACATCCTAGTTGCTGAGAGCCCAAAATGCAGTCACATAACTGGGGGGGAGGGGAGACATCAACATGTTGAGATCAATTTGTAAACAGCTTTTTTTAGGGGGGCATCATAATTTCATATGGGTTGCTAAACAACTGATTATAGGTTTAAGGACTACATGTATCAATATGCTAAATACCTGAATGAACGGATGCAAAGCTGGGCTGGAAAATTTAAGATTATCTGGCTGTTAGAATTGTTTTAATTTCCACCAAACCACGTTAGTTGACTCTCTTGAATATAGTAGCAGGGGTGTTTGCTCATTTTCAGGCATACCCTATGTGGACTGTAAAAAATCCAGAGAGCCATTAGATGCCAGTAGTGAGGTCTGCAAAAGCCTTGTTGCCATCTAGTGGTTGCCTAGATTTTGCAGCCTGGATATGGTAAATCTCACTTAAGTCAGGTTTTCCTAGTTCAGGGGTGGGCAATTGTGGCTCTTTTACAACCTGTGGACTTCAACTCCCAGAATTCCTTGGCTGTCTCAGGAATTCTGGGAGTTGAAGTCCACAGGTTGTAAAAGAGCCACAATTTCCCACCCCTGCCCTAGTTCATCTGGTTCACTACATAGGTGAGGGGAATGAAGATCAGGTTGAGGCGACTGTTGTGGCTTTGCAAACAGAAATAGGAACTATAGGATGGTTTTGAGCCACTAATGATATGCGCTTTATTCTTGTCATTTGTTAACCAATTGTCAGCATTCTATCTTAAATCTGCATTCGCGCCTTTTTCACATATAAAAAATGTGTAGCTTCTCTTTCTCTTTGCAAAGCCACAACAGCCACCACAATCCGATGGTGCAGGCAATGTTAAGATTCTTGCCTCTAAGACTCTAAATTGGCTCGTCACTTGTAGTCATTGCTTAAGGAAACTCACATCTTGTATTGTAGCTTTTAGTAAAACTCTGTGTACAGCATCTTTCCTTCAAATGTGTTCAAATAAAACTTTCGAAATTTTAGTGATTGATAATTCAACTAGATGGCAACAACATTTTGAAATGAATGAAGTGGTTATGGGAGCTGTAAGTACTTGTCAGGCCTAAGATGAAACAATGAAATCCAACTGAATCCAGTTCTTTAGTTTGATATAAAGGATATTGTTTTACCTAATAGACATATATTGACATTGTTATACCTGATAAACAGAATCTTGCTGGACTAAAGATATAACCTTCTAGACTAACAGATAGACGGTATCATTGTTTCTTTTTTCACTGTTTATTCTATTGTTCCATTTCTTTATTACAGTTATATTTACACTTCTTTTCATTTCTCTGTTTTTACTGTTGTAAGCTGCCTAGAGTAGCCCCATGGTGAAATAAGCAGCAAATAAATTTAACTAAATAAATAAGTAAATAAAGCCTGGGAGATTCTAGAACAGGAGTGTCCAATCTTGACAACTGTTGAGACTTGTAGACTTCCCAGCACAGGGAATTCTAGGAACTGAGGTCCACTAGCTCTTAAAGTTGCCACGGTAGGACACCTGTGTTCTAGGCTGTAATTATCCTGATCCTTTCCCCATCCTCATCCAGTTCAGCACTTTCTTGTCAGGGCCCCTCTCTGGAATAAGCTCCCTGGGAAGCTGCTTTGCCACTACTGACATCCCCCCTACTTCTTCAGTTGCACATTCCATCACAGTACTGGAATCAGAGTCAAAGTAAAATAGGGACATCATTTGAACTCCATAGTGTTGGAAGAAATTTAATTCAGAAGTTAAATTTATTCCTGCACTGCCTCTATCCTTCCTTTTAATCATTAGCACAATGCAAATAACTGAAACTAGAAAATTATGTGGCAGACGAAGTTAATACAAAATTGCAAATATCACTAAGCTACTTCCTCCATCGATAATTACAGTAATGACCAGGCTAAACTAATTAACCCAAGTAAATAATAGCAGACAGGGAAAATTCTTTCACAATATAGTTTCCCTGGGTATACAGAGGTGGTGCCCAAACTCGGCACATAAAGACATATCAAAGAAAAGATCTGTAAATAAAAGTCAAATAAAATGTTTCACTTCCAGAGCTGCACATCCACCAAATTAAACATTGCAAAAAGCACATTCACACACACCTCATAAAGGACCAGCTTTCCTATAAACATTATCAGTTTCTGTACCCCAAACTGTAGTCTATATTTTTAAATGCCATATTTTCTGCTCTCGAATAAAATTACCTCCTTTCCAAGCAGCATCATTCTTGCAAAATCCCAGCTCGTAATAGAACCCCTCTTTCCTCTAACAATAGTTACATGCTGAGAGAGCTGACTGAAAGGATTTAAGGGTTCATGAAAGCTTTCAAATTGGTGTATTTGGGGATTAATCTATTTGGAGTTCTGTTTTTTTCTTCATCTGATTTTTCATCTCCTTTCTCCGCCATCCAAAAGCCACCAGTGCCACTCAAGGACATTGACGTGAAGTTCTCCAATGAAGAGTGGGCTTTGCTAACTGAGGAGCAACGAGCACTGTATGATGATGTCACGCTGCAGAACTTTCAGAATATGTCCACTCTGGGTGAGGATTGGCCAGTTTCTTCAACCCTCCTTGTTTTCATGGCAACTCAGGAACAATGCTTTTTTAGCTCCATGATGGATCTAGCTTCTAATGCTTCTGATCAAGGACCCAAATCACTAGAGTGGGGATTTGTAGTCCACAACATTCGGAGGACATGTGTCTTGGAACGTTAGGTTAGCAGGACCCTGGAGGTCTTGGGGAAATGATAGTTGTCTCCTCTCCAGCATAATGTTATTGTCTGAACCTTCTAATATTCTGTAAAGTTATTTATTTACTTGGTTCAGACACTGCCTTTCATTCAAGGTGATATAGTTCAAGGTGATATATAGGTGGTCCGCAATTTATGACCTCAATTGAGACCAGAATTTCCATTGCTAAGCAAGTTGTTAAGTGAGTCATGCCCAATTCTGCAACCTTTTTTTTGCCACAGTTGTAAAGCAAATCACTGCCACTGAATGAATTGTAATGTCACTAAGTGAATCTGGCTTCTCTCATTGACTTTGCTTGCTGGAAGTGGCTGGGAAGGTCGCAAATGGTCAGGTTCATGTGATCCCAGAATTCTGCAACTTTTGTTAAATACAAGCCAAGCATCCAAATTTTGATCACGTGACCTTGGGGATACTGCGACAGTCATAATTGCAAGGACTGGTTATAAATTACTTTTTTCAGTACCCTTGTAATTTCGAAGTCACTAAACAAATCATTGTAATTCGAGGATTACCTATACATAGCAAACCCTTCCTCCTATTTGTTCCCATAGCAACCCTGGAAGTTAGATTGGCCTAAGAGAGAATAACTGACCCAAAGTCATCTAGTGAACTTCTGGGGTTGAAGCTGGGCTTGAGCTGTGTCTGCCTGCCCCTATTCCACCACCTTCACTACTATACTGAGCTGGCCTTGTATAGGGTTGGATAGGTTAATCAGGGACATTCAAGGGAAAGAGAATAGGACTGACATTGGTGCATCTTTATTTATCTTTTGTTCTGATCCAGATCAACTCTCCCTTCTCCTGCCTGTTTTTAATGTTTAAACCAATGTGATACCTTTTTGTGTTTGACCCAACTTTCATAATTTTTCACTGAGAAATTGAGAAGCCATAAATCTTTGGTTATGCTCCTTTTTCTTACGCTTCTTTCTCTTGGGCAGGAATTCCCCTGGAGAAACCTGAGGTAATCACCCGGATACAGCAAGGGGGAGAATTGTATTTTCAGAATAACACTATCAATTCTCCAAAAGATCGATTCATAGGTAAGGAAGAAGACTGAACGGGGAGTTTAGTTATGATCCACCTAATCTGTTGCCTAGTTCTTTGTAGCCTAATTTTTATAAAACACGCACATACCTTCATATAGACATCCATATTAAATAAGTCCTGTTTGTTCTGCTATTAGCATCAGGAATTATGATTTAAATTATTTGGAGGGGAGGAGGGGGGCTATGTGTGTGCAAATTCTCCAGGGATGTCTGTAGGAGAGGGTCAAAGATGTTAAGATGGCAGGTGCAACTCTATGATCAAAACTTCACCCATTTTGAACATATTTCATAAAAGATGTAAAAGGGTTGAGATTTCAATAACAAAATCAAGGGTGCCATTTGAGTGGTTTTGACCCACTATTACTGATGTAGCTATCTATGTATTTAGGGGGAAACAACCCACTGGTAGAACCCCAGACCCAATTTGCAGCCCCAGAACACATCCAGATTGCACACCCAAAATTTGACAACAAAATTTGCCCAAATATATTTTCTACTTTTTCATCCCCAAAGAGATTGAATAGACTTAGTAGATTTCCCCAGGATCTAACGCACCTTTAACCTTTTTAAAAAGCCATGTTTTCCTCCCCTTCTCCGTCCAGCCAAGCCTGTGCCATCAGCTTTCAGAGAATACCTCTCACAGAAAGAAAAGGAAAAGTATACCCTTGTTATTTTTCTATGAATCAGAACAATGCCCATCACAGCAACATGCAGTTTGGGAATCAAGAGAGAGCTTTCCTTACTTTCTTTCCTTAAGTTTATTTCCCAGTTAAATAATGGGGCTGGGGGGGAAAGGGAGATAACCTCTTCAATTTCCTTCAAAAGCAATCGCTCCTTGTTCTTTCCGTTACAGCAAACCAACTGTCACCAACTGTCACCCAAGGGGTGGAAAAACGTTCTTTTTTAAAGAGAGCCACAAAGACAGTTAAGGTACAAGCCATCGCAATGGAAGTACCTCAGGACAGTGTAGGTCTAGGGGAAACACTTGTCAAAGAGCCATCTTCTAATTCTATCAAAGAGGCTGCTGCATCAGTGCCCTCAACTAGTACTCTCCCCCTAAAAAAGCCATTGATTTCCTCAAAGCCTAAATCTTCCAAAAGAAAGAAGCACCAGCCATCTAGAACAGACGGGTTGGCTTCCACAAAAGGTAGGGATCAACCATCATTGCTGCAGAAAAGATCTGGAAAAAAGGAATCAGGAAGCCAAATTTCGACTGCCAAGGCTGGGAAACAAAAGAAGATCCTGGTTCCTCAAGGTGCTAAGTCATCACAGCTGAAGAAGCCAACTGCATCCGTAGGGCAGCACCCCAAACAGAAGAAGAAATCTGAGGTTCTGAGTGAACCACCCATGCTGAACAAGGAAACCCTGTTGAGTGAAAAGATTGTCCAGGACAAAGAGCATCAGCTGGCATTTCTGGAAGTAAAAGTCCACGAAACCTCTCTCCCTGTCACCACGTGGAATCCTCCTTTCAGTGCCACTGTGGTCTCTGATCTCACGTGCCTGGAATGCGGGCGGTCTTTCAAGCAGAGGTTTGACCTGCGCCAACACCGGTACGTCCATACACGGGAGAAGCCATATGCCTGCACGTTGTGTGAAAAGTGTTTCAGACACCCAAGCAACTTACATATCCATTTGCGGACGCATAGCGGGGAACGGCCCTATCAGTGTCCTGAATGCGGGAAAGCTTTTTCCCAAAGTTGCAACCTTCGGACTCATAGCAAGATCCATACAGGTAATAAGCCGTACAAATGCTTTGTCTGTGGCAAGTCCTTCTGCCATAGCTCCAATCTCACCATCCATCAGCGAATACACACTGGAGAACGCCCTTATCCATGCTCGGTCTGCTCCAAACGTTTCAGTGACAGGTCCACCCTGGTGCAGCATGAACGGACCCACACTGGCGAGAAGCCCTACGCTTGTGCGGTCTGTGGACAGAGGTTCAGCCAGATATCTCACCTCGTGAAGCATGGCCGCATGCATCCAGATACTGGTGACCCAGCAGAGCCCACTGAAGACTCATCTTCAAACACTTCCAAAAGGGTCTTCATGCCACCTGGTGGAAAAGCCTCTTTCCGAATGAAGGGTCAGAAGCCACCTGCACGGGATGAGAATCTTGCCTGGATTTCAAAAACATGGGCTTCTTCTTCCTAGGCTAATGGTCAGCAGAATTGCACCACTACATAGAGGTGGTTGGGCATATTGGAAAGGCAAAAGAGAAACCGAGACTTACGATAAGCAAAAGAAATGGCTGGCAGAGAAGTGGTAACAGAAAGTGTAGGAAGGGATGGGAGAATTGCTTCGTCTGGAAGCCTCCCTTGCAAATAATCTGCTGTAAATTGCTAGACTTCATTATCTCATTCAGAGGAACATCGGGGGGGAGGGGGGAATAATCCATGGGTGCAATACAGTCTATTAAAAAAAAACCCATATATTCTTGCAAAGTTCTCTTTCCCGAGCATTTTTTCCTTTAAAACAAATATTTTTAAATATTTATTTTCTCATTCCTAACTGCTTCCATAGCCTTTCGTGCTGCCATCATCTCCAGGGATTAACACTGCATATGGAAATAGATAACAAGTGGAAAATTCAAGGCATCTTTGCTCCCTTAGTCATTATCACAGAAATGGCAGGAAAAAGCTTCTTGTAAGATGTAAGGAAAGTGTATTGTGTTTGCAGCCAGCAATATTCAGTAGCTTCTCCTGAGTTTGGAGCAAACGAGAAAAAGAAATGAGCTGAGAGGCTTGTGTGGTCAAAGAAAAGCTATCTGAAGGCAGGGCCAAGATACTTTTTTTGACACGTTAGGAATTTTGTAATGCCAGCATATTTTTCATTTTTCCTACCTATGGAACAGCAATGCATCTTCTATACCAGGGTTTCCCAACCATGACAACTTCAAGACTTCTACTTCCAGAATTTCCCAGCCAGCCAACCAGAAATAATGTTATTTTTTTTAAAAAAATCAGTCCAAATACTAGTTAAATGTAAAGATTAAAAAGTAACAGCTTAGCTGTTTTTTATGGTCAAATAAATATTTATTTTTTAAATGTGTCCTAGGGAGGAAATCTTTCACTGCATAGTATACTATAGAGATTTCTCTCTCCTCTTATTATGGACTGGAACCGAGAGTGGGCAAAGCCCCCTCCATTGAATAGACTATTGCTTTTATCTATCTTGTTCCTTGCGCAGCTTATTTATTTATTACAGAATTAAATATACAAGAGCCAAATTCTTTATTTAAAGTTATGCTCAATCCAACATTGAAGTAAATGGAGCCTGGAAAAGCAAATGAAGAAAATGAACTGTAAAACCATAGGTGTAAAGTATAATGCTAAAATAAACTACAGTATTTGGTATATTAAATAGATTTATGTTATTATTGTTTCGTTTACTATTATTGACAATTATTACATTTAAACCTGGGCTGGAACATTAGAAGTATTTCAAAGGGAAGCCTTAATAATGTTTTATATAAGTTGCATAAGTGAGCTTTGCCTCATTTTACGACCTTTCGTGCCACAGTTGTTAAGTGAATTACTACAGTTGTTAAGTTAATAACTTAATTGTTAGGTGAATATGACTTCTCCATTGGCTTTGCTTGTCAAAAGGTTGTAAAAAGTGATCATATGACCCTGGGACAGTACAACCATCATAAATATGAGTTATGATGCGCACCCAGAAAAGCAAATGGCTTTGATGTTTTTAGATGCACAGAAAGCCTTTGACAATGTGAACTGGCGATTTATGATACTACAATTGAAACAGATGGGCTTTGGAGAGAAATTTGTCCAAGCTATAGAAGCTATATATTATAAACAAACAGCAAAAATAATTATGAATGGAGAGCTGACAGAATTTATTGAAATACAAAAAGGAACGAGACAAGGTTGTCCATTGTCACCACTGTTGTTTGTGTTAACATTAGAAGTACTAAACAGAAATATCAGAGAAGAAAAAGGAATAAAAGGAATGAAAATTCAAAATCAAGAATATAAATTGCAAGCATTTGCTGATGACCTGGTGTTTATCTTGGAAGAACCACTTCAATCTGTAAACAAATTGATAGACAAAATAGGAGATTTTGGGAAAGTGGCTGGTTTGAAAATAAATAAAGACAAAACGAAGATGTTGACAAAAAATATCTTAAAAAAACAGAAAGAAGAATTGGCGGAAGTATCAAGGATGCAGGTCACGAATAAGGTTAAATATCTGGGAATACATTTGACAGCAAGATGTGGAACTCTTAAGGAGAATAATTATGATAAGCTTAAACAACAGATAGCGACAGATCTAACAAAACGGGAGAATTTGCAGCTATCATTGATAGGGAGAATATCAACTATTAAAATGAATATACTGCCCAGACTTTTATATTTATTTCAGACAATTCCAATTAAGTTGGGGAAAAATATTTTGAAGATTTAAATAAAATGGTGTTAAAATATATATGGCAAGGCAAAAAGGCAAGGATAAAACTAAAATTGATGCAAGATGTTAGATCAAGAGGAGGTTTTGGTTTGCCGGATTGGGAATTATATTATAAAGCTTGTAATTTGATGTGGATTAAAGAATGGATAACGCTAAGGAATATTAGATTGTTGACCTTAGAAGGACATGATTATTGTTGGGTTGGCATGCTTTTATGTGGTATAAAAGTACAAAAGTGCAGGGTTATTTCAGAAGGCATATGATACAAGAATCTTTGTTATTAAACTGGGAGAAGATCAAACAATGTTACTATTTAAAAATTCCAGTCTGGTTATCACCTATTGAAGCAGTCTCACACGCAATAACATTCAGAAAGGAACAAATTGTTAGATATGGTGAATTATTAAATGAAAGGGGTGAACTTAAGTCGAAGCAAGAACTAGAAGAACAAGAGTTTGAAATGGATTGGTTTTCATATATGCAAATACAGTCTAGTTATGATGAAGATTCTAAAAAGGAGGATTTTTATAGTAATTTGACAAACTTAGATAAGATCTTAACAGGTTCTGATGACCATATAATTAAAAAATTGTACAGTCATTTATTAGAAGTAAAACTGGCAGAAGAATAAGTTAAAGAAACAATGATTGCATGGGGGGAAAATGTGGGTCATGGGATTGATTTAGAGAAATGAGAAAAATTATGGTTGCAGAATTATAAAATGACAATGTCAACAGCATATAAAGAAAATTTGTATAAGATGTTTTACAGGTGGCATTTACCCCCGGTGAGAATAGCCAGAATGTACAAGAATAAATTGGAGAAATCTTGGAAGTGTCATCAGACTCCGGGCTCATATTACCATATGTGGTGGACATGCGCAGAAGCTAAAAGATATTGGACTAAAATCCACAAATGGTTGGAAAAAATGACAAAGAAACACACTGACTTTAAACCAGAGATATTTTTATTAGGGATTTTACCAGAAATATACAATAGAGAAATGAGATATTTAATTGTGAATGTTTTAATGGCAGCTAGAATTGTATTTGCTAAAAACTGGAAAGGAGAGAAGATACCCATGGATGATGACGTTATCAAGAAAATTTTGGAGTGTGCTGAAATGAGTAAATTGACATTTGAAATTAGGGAACAAGAAGATAAACAATATTTTTTGATATGGGATTTATTTTATCAATGGTTAGACAAGAAAGAATGGAAATGACATATGAAATATGAAATGGATAAGATAATAAAACATATAAAGGGTTTTTTTCCCCCCTTATGGAGGATAATTTACTGTTAAATAATTGGTAAATGAGAATAATATTGTAATAAGCTGTTAAATAAGAAAATGTTAGATAGAGGATTAAGCACAAAAGATTTGTAACCGATCAATCGCTTTCTGTAATTGTAATGGATGATAATTGTTTTATGTTTTAAGTTTTGTTTAAAAATAAAAAAAAATTTCCAAAAAAAATAAATAAATATGAGTCAGTTGCTAAGCATCTGAATTTTGATCACATGACCCCGGGGATACCACAATGGTTATTAAGTGTGAAAAACGGTCATAGGTCATTTTTTTCAGTACCGTTGTAATTTCAGACAGTCACAAAACAAACTGTTGTAAGTCGAGGACTACATGTTCTGAACAAATCACACTATTATATGACTTTGTATGGGATATGAACTGACTAAGTTTGCTCAACCTAGCTGCCTAGAGTCACACAGAATAACAGCGTCAGAAGGGAACTTGGAGGTCCAACCCGCTAATCAAGCAGGAGATCCTATACCATTTCAGTCCAATCTCTTCTTAAAAACCTTTAGTGATGGAACAGCCACAACTTTCGGAGGGAAACTAACCCTGATCTTGTCCAAACCCAATGAATGTTTCTTAATGTGATGAAAGAACATACGTATACCATAGAGTACATTCAGTATTTCATACAATTAGAAACCACAAAAGGCCTCTTAAAACCTCTTAAGCTACCAAGACCAAACTTCTGTTCAGTGCAGGAATTTAAAAAAATATCTCAGAGTGATGGCTGTGCCGCCTCTAGAATATTAATTCCATTATCACAGTTTTTCCTTACAATATGAACCAGTTGGGTTTATTCAGATGGAGGGCAGAAACTAGCCATCAGGCAAGGGTACTTGAAACCAGATTCCTGCCCTAAGCATGAATCTGGAATCAGTGATGTAAATAACATTTTTCAGCTCCAGAATGTTAACGGTTTATTGGAATCTGCTTCTGATATTTTGGTATCTATTATTCTATATTTTGCCTTCACAACTATGAAGCTGTAGGAAGTTAGCACCCACCCCTCTCCTAGGAAAATGAGATATTTTAGGAAATATTAAAATGGCACAATATTTCCCCTAAAAGGGAGGCAGAAACTCAGCCCTTCCACCTTTGTCAATGGGCCATTAAGGCCTGGGCCAATCTATTCTACATAACAAAGATCTACCTCCTTCAGGGAGAGCCATAGTAGAAATTGCCCAAAGCCCTTTCATTACATCATCACCCAGCAAGAGTCAACTAAGCTTGGGATTCAGGACAACCTACAGAGTTGCCCCTGCATGGCACCAAGGGTGTCTGATAACAAATCAGAATACAAGCTCAAATTCAAAAGCCCAGAGAGGGCATAAAACCAGGGCACTCTCAGCATCTCTTCCCTTTTTTCTGCCCAGGATCTAAAACCATGTGGACCTGTCCACCATTAAACCATCTTTCCAAGCAGTCTCCATGTTTCCAGTGTCTTTCTTCCCCACTTGGAACTGAACCCAGATAGACATTTCTTCCAACAAAAGCTATTTTCTGTAAGACTGATACAACTCTCCCCAGATAGCTATATACAAAGGTGGCCCAAAATACATTTTGGGTGTTTCTCAACCATGGCTACTTTAAGCTATGTGGATTTCAAAATCCAAAATTATCCAGTCAAAATAAGCAATGGACCCATAAGTTTTTTTAAAAAAATCTCTGCCATTAATAGATAGTCTGTGTTAAAAACATATTATAGAAGAGGCATACGTTTTATTGGACAAGAGTGAGATTGCATTGAAAGTGGACTTAAAAATGACAGACTAAAAGAGTGATAAGGAAAAAGATGCTAAACTACAGAATATATAAATGATACCAGCTGATGTCTTAATAATTAAAAATGATTAACAAATAAACAAAAAAGTGACCTGGATAACTTTCCTATATTGGATTTAGAAAAAAAAGTCATGTTTACAGTTTTGAAGGATTTTATGAGGAGAGAAAAAAAATTAAAAGAAATCCAGTATTTGAAAGGATTAAAGATGAAGTTTGTTAAAGGCATATAAAATTGGTGTATGTGATCAAGGTTAAATTAGTATGTTATCTGTGGTTACCCTTAATGGACTTTTACTAACTGAGATCAAATCAAATCAGCCATTACATTTGCTTATAAATAAGAGATGAGATATGGAAGAAAGTATCATTTGTTGTATTTTAAGAGAAAGTGATATGTTATTAAAAATGCATATACTTGTTATGAACCGATAAGTCATTTCTTTATGTATTTTTCTTTTCTTTTTCTTTCTTTTCTATTTTTCTTTCCATTCTTTTTACTTCTTTTTAGTTAGCATTCATTCGTAACTTTTAATGGCAATGTTTAATAAAATTATTATTATTATTTTTTAAGAACTCCTTCCCATCATCCCCAGATACCATTCAGGCTGGATGTTTCTGAAGTCCCAAAATATACTTGAGTCACCAGAATGGCAAAAAAAGAGACTCAAGACAAGGCTTGCAAAAAGAAGCAGATTTTATTTATGGCCAAAACAAAATACTGGGTAGGACTATATCCAGAACATACAGATACAATGCATGTGAGGAGATAGCCACACCTTGGGGAAGATATGGCGTCCTTTTTACACCCTCAGAGACATCAGCTTAGTACCCAATTCTGGCCTCCTAGTTTAGGTTTGTGTATTCCTTGTTGCCCTGCAAAGGAACAGAAGCCTCCCAATTAGTGTTATCTCTTCCTTGAGCATTCCTTTGTTCTCCCAATTGCTCATTTGGCCCCCTGGGCTGCAGGTAACAGATCAAAGGTGTAAGTTAGGGCTGAAGTGTAAATTATCTCCCAGATGATGCCTGCAGTTCCAACTGAGATAGGTACCATGCTCTTAGATGGCACGAGAAAAACAGGAAGAAGATAGATATGGGTTCAGATCAAATGACAGGAACATACGTTTAACAAATACCAGATACATTACAGAGGCCTAATAACAGAATAAGTTTATTACAGGAGATACAAATATAAAGGCATCATATATGTGATACAAATACAAAGGCATATTTGTGTTACAGGTATAAAGGTACAATATATATGTGTTATACAAATACAAAGGCTATATATGTATTACAGGAACCTAATGGTTACAGAATAACAAGTTTCTACTAATTCTAGTACACCAGTATATTATATTCTAGTATTATTTATTATATCCTTATTACTGTTTCCCTTCATTACAGGCTGAAGGCTTAAGACAGGGAGCGTATCACTTGTGCTGTCTTAGGTTTCCTAAATCATTAAGTTACTGAGTCAAAAAACCTTGGTTACTTTGGCCACACACTAACTGAAGGTTTACACCAGTGTTTTTCAAATTTGGCAGGTTAAGAAATGTGGACTTCAACTCCCAGAATTCCCCAACCAGCATAGGCAATGGTGCATGGCTGGCTGGGGAATTTCTGGGAATTGAAGTCCACATATCTTAACGCTGGCAAGTTTGAAAAACAGTGCTTTACCCTCTGTTGCAAACGCGAAAGAGTTAAAAAAAAATACACGCCGCAGCCAGGCTCCTAGAGTGGCTCGGCGAGCGCCATCCAAAGGGAGGCGATGCAAGATCCGACCACGCTTTCCCGTTCCGTCCAAAGATGGAAAGAAATGGAACGTGGCCTTCGATTTGATCCCCTTTATTAACCTCGAGGGGAGCCGCAGAGCGGTGAGTCCCGGGCAGGGAGAAAAAGAGAGGAAAGGCAATGGTGACAGTCCAGGGCTAGAGAAAGTAGGAAAACAACGCCTCGCTTTGCTTCACTCCATCAGCCACGTGGTTCCTGACTCAAGAGGCTTTTTTTGGATCGCGGGAGCGTCACCTTTTATTGGGCAGCATGAAGTTGGTGTAGGGCTTGCTCTGCTCAATGCACGCGCGTCTTTCCACCCTTTGGAAGGCCGTGCACGAAAGATTCGGTTCTTCCTAGGTTGATTCGTGTTAGTTTTAGGCGGGGGAGGGAGGGGAAAGGGGAGGGAAAACCGCGCTATACAGTGCAAGCGTGCAGGTGGAGGATGCTGGCTTGCTTTTGCTTTGAAAACCAACCCAAAGAAGCTCCCTGCAAGTCGAGCATCGCTGCAGCCGGAAATCAAGGGTTTCCCCACTCTCCCACCCACTAGCCTTCTTTCCTTGTTGGGTTGGTCTTCTGCTTGCAGGGAGCCTGCTGGTGAGCTGCTTTTGGCAGTGTGAGCATTGCAAAGTGTGCGCTTCCCCATTCGTGTCCTGAAGTGGTGCAGTCCGCTCTTCCGCTGCGTTCAGAGGCGAGAGGGAAGCGCGAGGTAGGCTGCATGAAAGCGAAAGGTGAGCCAACGGGGCCCTTCCGCTGATCCTTTTCTTTGCTTTTTTTTTTCCTTTCTTTTTTGGAGTGAGGGATGGTGGTGTTTCACTATTTAACTCCTCTCCTCCCAGAGCCGCCTTGCTAAAAGGGTCGCGTCCGTGTCAGAGGAAGACATGGGACGGTGATCTGGACTCGCTTCCTTGGCCAGCTCCGGGGTTCATGGTAGCTGGCAATGGTCGTGATAACCTTCAGGAGCCCTCCGTTTATTTTGTTTTCTGCTCTCTTTGTGTATTTCGTTGCCCTGATCATGTTGCATTTTTTTCCTTTCATTTTTTGCATGAAAAATAGGGTGTGACAGATTTATTATTATCTCTTTTATTCATTAAACATGAAACTCAAGTCAATTGAATATTTAAAATTGTTGTTGTTGTTGTTGTTATTGTGTAATCTTCGACTTGCCAGTATTATTCCTTTCCTCTCTCTCAAAATGTGCCTGTTCTTGTGTTTATTCCTCTGAACTGTTTCAGATGCTTTTACTTTACCTTTTCTGCCTTGTGACAGGATCTGCATCCCAGAATGCTTCTCTTTCTTCAGCTCTTTTCCAAAAGCTTTGGGACAAGACCCTCCTCCTCTCCTAAGTCCTGTAACTAAGATCATCTATCTACATTTGAAATAACTTCCATCTTGTTTTCTTGTTTTGTTTCTTTTCCTAGTTCTTTTCCTTCCTTTCTATTTTTAGAATGTAAGAACCTTGGGACAGGGGAACCGACCTCATTCTTTTTGGATAACCTCTACAATGGATTGTTGACTTAAGAATAAAAGAATAAATAGGAAGCAGAATAAGGCAGTAGAAGAGACTGCACCCCTACAAATAGGAAGCTAGCAGCTTTCTCTGATGTCCTAAATCTTTTTTTGCATTTTTTAAAGAATGAGATCTGTCTACAGTATTACTGTTTGTTTTCTCTCTCATTTGCAGCTCGATCTTCTCCAGGTTTAGTATTTTTGTGCTGCTAAGAAGGTAACCAGATAAATTCCACATAGTTTTATTTGAATACTTTTGTTATGTAATCAAAGCATCTAAGGGATAAATATTTGATAAATAGTTTTGATGAATGGCTACCACATTGAGAATAATTAAAAGGCTGTATAAATTTGTCAGTGTTTATGGTTATCCCCCAGCAAAATATATCTAAATAACACTGCCTTTATGGTAAAGATGGTAGCTGAAAATTTTCGCCTGAGAGATAATTAGGAATAAATCTTGCCAAATACAATCAAGTGCCATTAAAGAAAAAAAAAGCCATGAAGAGAATGTTGATGTCAAAGCACTACATCAAAGCGATAATGCAAACTAAAAAAAAACAGTAACCAAGGAAATTTGGTGGCATAAATTGAAAATAATGTTATTTTAAAAGTTTTACTTTTGGGAAACTATCAGTCTCCCATCTTTTCTGACAGGAGTATGCCCACACTGCCTTCTTACAGATTTCCCTAGCCCCTGCCGAAGTCTGGCTCCAGAGCGCTTTGAAAGAATCTGCAGCAGAGACACAGCTGCTCCATTGGCAGCTCCTCAGGCCACAAAATGGCTGCACAGCAACATCCAAACAACATGGCTGCTCTTTCAAAAGAAGTAGAGGATGTGAGATGTCCGTTGCAGGTCCAAATGAAAATGGAAACTCCCTACCAAGCAAATGACAGTGCAAAAGATGGTGAAGGAGATGGCCTTGCCACCATTCCATCTGCAACCAGTGAAGAGTTCACAAGAGCAGTGTCCAAAGTAAAGCAGGAGCTGGCCGAAGAGCTACCGCAGAGCTGGGAGTGCCAATGGCAAAGGGTGCTAGAGGTGGTACCTGCTCCCTTCATCACTCCAGTCTGGGACAGCTTGCAGTTGCCTCCTTTGACTCAAGGGGGCAGCACCGAGGCCTACCTGGCCACCTTTGAGCGTGTGGCGGACGCTTCCCAATGGCCACGGGAAGAGTGGGTGACTCACCTTGTGCCAGTCCTTAGTGGACAAGCTCAGCAGGCCTATTTCAGCCTGGATGCAAAAGACAAAGCTGATTATGGGAAGGTGAAGGTGGCTATTCTGAGGCTGGATGACTATCTCGCCCTCGAGGCGCACCGCCAGCGTTTCAGGCATTTCTGCTACCGGGCTGCCGATGGGCCCCGGATGGCATGTCAGCAACTCCAGGAGCTCTGTCACTGCTGGCTGAGGCCTGAAGGCCAAAGCAAGGAGCAAATCCTGGATCTGCTCATCTTGGAGCAGTTCCTTGTCATCCTTCCACAGGAAATGCAGGACTGGATTAGGGAGCGCGGTCCGGAGACGTGTGATCGAGCGGTGGCCTTGGCAGAGGAGTACCTGCAGGAGCAGCAGGAGACAGAGAAGTGGGCCCAACAGGTGAGGAATGGCTAGTTTTTCTGGGGAGGATGGAGGACTCTCCATGATAGCAAAAGGGAAAGTGCAATTTGCTGCCATGGGAGATCAAGTAAAGTAAGAGCTGTGAGTTGAAAACAACAGCCTAGAAAAAGGCAGTGACAGGCCACTCACGTTCTCTTGCTAAGAAAACATGAAGTCACCAGGAGTAAAGTTCAATTCATAGGAGATTTTTAAAAAAATTTATACATAGACATGCATAAAATATTTATACATACATACATATATGTAGAAATGGGTATTGTTTTAGCCTTTATAAAGAATTGGGCAATAAAGTACACCCCGAAACCATCAGTATAGGTAATCCTCAACTCATAACTGGTTGCTTAGCAACTGTTCCAAGTTCCGATGGAACTACTTGGGAAAACTTACAATTCAGATTTGATTCTCCATCTGTCATGTGATTGTACTTCAGGCACTCAGCAACTGGGCCACATTTGCAGCATCTCCTGGTCATGTGACTGCATTTTACAACAGTTTTGCCAAACTGGCATTTACCTCCAGTTTTTGGCAAAACTGTGCTTATTACAAAACTGTTGGTTCACTTAATGACCGCCATAAAAAAGTTTATAAGATCAGTTTGGTCACATGACCAAGCTGCTTTAGAACCATCATGAGTGAATGACTATCAAGACAGGCTCCGTTATAATTGTAATTCAAAGTCTACCCCTATTACATGTATAGGTGTATAATAAATTATGGCCTCTTACAAGACTTTCCTGAAAGAGTACACAACCCCAAACAGATACACACAGATATATGTATATGGATACTAATAATGAAGAAAATTGCCTACCCAATTCAGAAAGCAATATGTATCAAACAAATGGGAAGGGCAAACCAAAATCTTTAAAATTAACTGTTACCCTGTTTGTAATCAGTTATGATTGACTGGAAGATACTGGACAAATCAGTATGTATTTCCATGCTGGTTACTCTGTACTAAAGTTGTAGGTACGTGCACTATTACTGTGTGTAAATGAGCCAAGTTGGGTAGATTGTGGGAAGAACTGATTGTCAGCTTTGGAAGCCATATTAGGCCGGAAACTTCCATGCTGCCACCTTCTTGTGTGGGAAAGTAGGAGGGGGGATTTAGTAGAGGAGTTGTCCATAGACATAATAGCATTCTTGTTGTCGGTCAAGGTCAGGGTGATCCTGCATCTGGAGAAGGAGAGGTTGGAGTGATGTCTCGAGATGGGACGGTGGTTGATTGGAGCATGTGATCGACTGAGGAGTGAGGGGATGGTTTTGGGGGTTTTGATTTACTGAGGGAAAACCCGGACCTCTCAAATTCGTACATTTTCCCAGATGTGCCAGTTTATCTATTCTAGTAAATAGAACTATGAAAAATGCTTGCTTCAGAGTCTTTACTTGGAGTTGGGTTTTCTTCTGGAACGCTGACACTGATCAGCAAACTCTATCTGCGTTGTTTGGGCTGATTGCATTGCTTGTTACTGCCATTGGAATACCGCAATCCCTATTTGTTTTGACTGCTGAGGAATCACATACTATGCTGCATATCCCATCTTTTATTGTATGGGCAGTACTTTTCTTTGTGCATCAATATGGAGTAGAAACTTGACTAACATGTCATCAAAGTTCTGCACTCAACATCCGTTTCAGCCTACCAATTGTATCCAGTACAGATGTCCATAATTCTAATATATATCCTATCCTTCGATTAGCTATTAACCATGTCTTTCTATCTTTATTTCAGATAACTGTACCAATTGAGATGGTGATAGTTAACTCTCCCACTATAGATCAGGCCCAGTCAGAAGCAAAACATCTCCACAAAGAACAGGTTGACAATGAAAATAATATTTCTCAAGGTAACTGTTTTATTTTATTAAACTATATATGAAAAGAAAAACTATATATTCAATAATGTTACTACATAATTCAGCGATTACGGAACATAAAAAAAGCAGAGGAAGCCCTGGAAAATTAAGTTTTGAACAAAAGAAATTCTAAAAATATTTTGATATTGCTCAAAATTCTTCATTGCCTCTTGGTCAAAAAAAAAGACTGGCTAGAAGCACATTTCAGCTACCCAGTGCTACAAGTCAAGCCATATTCTATTATTTCTCCATGCCTCCAAAGTCTATAATTCTTTATTGAAAAGTTTTTAAAAAATTTTACAAACATTTCCCCTTCCTCCTCCCTGCTGTCCTTCCAACCCTCCCCTTCCCCTCCCTCCCCCCCCCCACTTCCCAGAGCAAAATACAGGGTATAACATTTGACAATCATAAGCTAACATAAGCTAATTATCAATAGTCTCCTATTGAACTTTTAACTCCCCTTTTACTAAACTAAAATTAAGTACTTTATAAAATCTCTTTGATCATTCATAAGCTATTTGAAATTTTTTAGTCCGATATTTGCCTTGAATATAAATCAATCCATCTTTTCCATTCTAATATATATTTCTCATATGAATGGTCCTTTAGATATGCTGAAACTTTCACCATTTCTGCTAAATTTACTACTTTTAATGTCCATTCTTGAATAGTAGGTAAATCTTCCTTCTTCCAGTACTGCGCCACCAAAAGTCTTGCTGCAGTTATTAAATTCAGAATCAAATTAGTCTCTATAGCTGTACAGTCTGTAATGATACCTAACAAAAACAACTGTGGAGTAAACTTTATCCTTTTTAAAAAAATATTTTGAATAATCCACCATATTTTTATCCAAAATGCTTTAACTTTTTTACAAGTCCACCAAACATGAAAATAGGTAGCATCAACACAATCACATCTCCAACATTTGGGTTGTAAGTTTGGGTACATAAAAGCTAACTTTTTAGGATCCAAATGCCATCTATAAAACATTTTATAAATATTTTCTCTCAAATTTTGAGCTTGTGTAAATTTTACATTTCTTACCCAGATCCTTTCCCATGTTTCCATCATTATTGGTTCCTCAAAATTTTGTACCCATTTTATCATACAATCTTTAACTAACTCTGTCTCCGAGTCTATTTCTATCAAAATATTATATAACCTTTTTATATGCATTCTACTCTGGACTCTTAATTTGTTTTATCAAATTTTCTTCACTTTGTATAATACCAATTTTCTGATCTTTTTTCCATCTGTTCTACAGCTGTACATACTGAAACCAGGTTTGAATTGCCCTTTCCTCTCTTAGTACATTCAGAGGCTTTAACTGTAGTACATTTCTTTCTGTAAACAGAACTTCTTTATAAGTAGTTACATCCTGTCTTTGTTCTATACTTATATTTTCTATCGCATGTCTGGGTACTACCCACATGGGTATCTTGCCATTCAATTTATATTGGTATTTTTTCCAAACACGCAGGAGGGCATTCCTTAGTATATGACTTTTAAAAGTCCTATCCACCTTCTTCTCATAGACTAAGTAGGCATGCCAACCATATAGCAAATCATACCCTTCAATATTCAGTATTCTTTCATCTGTTAAATTAATCCAATCACTAATTGCTGACAAAACAGCTGCTTCATAGTACAATTTTAGATTGGGCAATTTCAAACCTCCTCTTTCACGTGTATTCTGCATTATTTTTAATTTAACTCTCGGTCTCTTCCCTACCCAAACAAAATCGTTAATGCCTCTCTGCCATTCCTCCAGATTTACATCCTTTTTAAGTATTGGAATCATTTGAAAAAGAAATAGAAACTTGGGCAGAACATTCATTTTAACTACTGCTATTCTTCCTAACAAAGACAGTTGCAATTTTTTCCATTTATCCATCTCTATCTGTATTTTATGCCATAACAATTCATAATTATACTTGTATAATTTCCCATTTGATGTAATAAAAATTCCTAAGTACTTAACCTTTTTCACTATCTTGCATCCTGTTACTCTTTCCATTTCTTCTTTTTGATTTGTATTCATATTCTTAACTATCATCTTTGTTTTCCCTATATTTATTTTAAACCCTGACACTTGACCATATTGCCTAATTATCTCCATCAAACCTGTAACTGAATTTACTGATTGGGTTAAAGTTACAACCAAATCATCTGCAAATACTCGTAGTCTATAATCATGTTGCCTGATCTTAATACCCTGTATGTTATCCGCATCCCGTATTTTATTCAGCAATACTTCCAAAGTTAAAATAAACAGTAGTGGAGACAAGGGACATCCCTGTCTTGTTCCTTTCTCAATTTTAAAGATTTCTGTGAGACTACCATTAACTATTATTTGTGTTGTTTGTTTCTGGTATATTGTCTTAATAGATTGTATGAAATGCTCTCCCAACTGCATCTTTTGTGCTACTTTCACTAAAAACTGCCAGTTCAATCGATCACACGCTTTCTCTGCATCCAGAAACATAAGCACTGCAGGGACTTGGTTGTTCTTCCCCAAATACTCCATATATTAACAATTTGTCTTACATTGCTTTTCATTTGTCTCCCTTGTATAAATCCAGTTTGATCTTTATGAATCACTTGTTGCATAACTGACATTAATCTATTTGCCAAAATTTTTGCAAAGATCTTATAATCTGTATTAAGCAATGATATGGGTCTGTAATTTTTGGGTTGACTATGATCTTGATCTTCTTTTGGGATCAGGGAAATAAAAGCTGTTCTCCAGGATGGTGGCACTTCTCCTCCCCGTTGTATTTTAACAAATAACTCCTTAAGAGGTTCTACCATTTCTAATTGAAAATTTTTATAATACACTGCTGTCAAACCCTCTATGCCAGGAGCCTTTCCACTTTTTAATTGTTTAATTGCCAAAATAATTTCCTCAGTGGTTATTAATACATTCAGTCTTTTCCTTTGTTCATCAGTAATTGCAAGAATATTTTTCTTCTGCAAATATCTCTCTATATCATTACCTTGTATATTATCACCAGCATATAACCTCGTATAAAAATCTAAAAATGCTTTCTTAATTAAATTCTGTTGATATACCTCTTTACCTTTATACTTATTCTATTGTACGAGATTTTTGTTTTTTCCTTAGCATATATGCTAACCACCTGCCTGGTTTATTTGCGTTACAAAAAGTATTATGTTTAGCATATTGCAAGTTCGTTGCAACTTGATCTGACATCAACATATTAAACTGTCCTCGCAATATTGTAATGGCTTCTTTTATATTCTTGTCATCTGGTTTATCCACTAACTCCTGTTCCTTCTTTTTTATTTCCTCTTCCAATTCCCTCTGTTTTTTCCCCTGTCTACGTCTGTAAGAATTGTTCAAATTTATTAAAACTCTTCTCATATATGCTTTACTTGCATCCCATACCATTTCCACAGGTGTACCCTTATGCATATTTAAAACAAAAAATTCTTTCATTAACTTTTTACATTCTATCACATTTGCCTCATATCGAAACAAGTTTTCTTTTTTTAAAAAAAAAATACTTTATTAAGTTTTATATATATGCAAAACAAAAATCTCATTTCTATTAACATCGGATCTGCAGGGTTTATACATATGTACATAAAATATATCTGGTGTCACTTAAGCAATTTGTTGCTACTTACCTTATACTCCTTCTTTAATTCTATTGTTCATCCATGCATACCACCTTTCCCACACAGTATAATACTCTGAGTTTCCATCGTTGTTTATTTCATACGTTAATTTACTCATCTCTGCGTACTCCAGTATTTTCCTAATTATAAGTTCTGGTGGCAGGGTTTTCTCTTTCCAGAATTGTGCATACACCAGTCTAGCAGCTGTGGTTATATGTATTATCAGATGAATCTTTCTCTTTCCATACCCCTTCTTTACTATTCCCAGGAGAAATATTTCCGGTATCAATTCTATGTCTTCTCCAATTATTTCTTGTAGCCATGTCCAAATTCTGTTCCAATATCTTTTCACTTCGGGGCATGTCCACCACATATGAAAGAAGGTGCCCTGACCATGGCCACATTTCCAACAGTTAGAGTGCATTTTGGGAAACATCTTAGCTAGTCTGGCAGGTGCTAAATACCACCTGTGGAGCATTTTATACTGATTCTCCTTATACGTCGCGTCTCGGCTCAATTCAAATTTTTTATTCCATTCCCTTCCTTCCCATTCGTTAAAATTTAAAACTATGTCCTATGTTTTTTTTCCCATACTCTCAATTGGTTTTTAGCTATCTCATAGCTCTGTCCTATCTAATAACTTTTTTCTCCAAAACTTTTTTCAAAATCCCCATCTAGTCCATTATTCTAATCTAATTCTAATAATCATATTCTTCCTTATCTTTCTGATATCTTGATTTTATTTGTAAGTAGGTCCACCAATCTAAATGTATACCTTGGTCTCTCAGAGTGTCATTTGATTTAAGGTTTCCTCCCCCATCTAATATGTCTTTATATCTGCACATTTTCTCCATTCCCCACCTGTTTGGATAGATCAAGGCCTCCATTGTGGAGAGCCATTTGGGAACTTTAGTATAGTATCGCTGCCTAATTCCAATCCATGTTTGTATTAGGGGACTCCCTAATTTTATGCCTATGAAAATAAGTTTTCTTTTTTTTTTCCTGTGTCCCACAGGTAGGCGTTCCACCCCTTCTGTAGATCATGACCTTCTAAGGTTAGAATTCTCTTATTTTCCAATATGGCCCACTCCCTTATCCATACTACCATGGCTGCCCTGTAATAAATTTCCCAATCTGGGAGTCCAAAACCTCCCATATTCCTTTTTCCCTGTAGAATTTTGAGCGAGATCCTCGGTTTTTTCCCATCCATAGAAATTCCCTGAAAATCTGGAAAAAAAAAAAATTATCTAGGGTCACTGGTATATTTTGATATAAGAATAAAATTTTGTGAAGGATGTTCATCTTGATCGCAGCTATCTTGCCTATAAGTGATAATTTGATTTTCTTCC